ATGTTTCTGATATAAGGAGATTTTTTAGGAGATATTGATTACTTGTTCTTGCTCCAATCCGCTTATTTAATCCAAATAATACAGTTCCAATGTGTTGACTTTCATTCATATTTCACTGTTTCATATCCTTTAATTTGCAAGAGGAGTTTATATCTGGTAACTTTCTGTGTGGAATGTTTTCCCCCCTTTCCAATATTCAACCTTCCTTTTTGTTGCAGTCAATCATTTTCGGCATCCCCCCCCACTCCAAGGACTCAATTTTACTGCGTATCTTTCGCCATTTTGCTTTTCTCAAAACTGAAAGTGCTCTAGCGGCGTGGTTCTCTATACACAAGCTGTTTCAGTGGTTCGTCTGTGCTGAAGGTGTCAATGAGACTCCTTGACTCCTGGGTTAAAAAATCCTAGTGTCCTTCCAGCTTCCCCAGCAAACCATTAATTCTAACATGGTCTTCATTATATCATTGACTTCAATGCAAGAATGATAACAATATTTTGAACAAAGCAATTTCAAGTGGATCATATCTTCTTCAGAAGCCCTTTTCTACTTCTGTTCCCTTTCTATCTCCCATTTTGCCTCCGCCTTTCCTGATTCTGACTTTGCTTCTTCTAAGGTTTGTTTCCAAGCCCTCATATTGAAACTGGTTTGTAAATGGATCCAATGTGTGTAGCCTTGTTGTCACAAACGTCACGTGGTGGCTGTTTGAGGCAGGAGTAATAATGTGAAGAGTGGGTCTTCCGGTGGATTTCTCCCACTGCAGGGAGAATTTCTGTGCCCTCATCTGCTGTTGCAAAGACTGTTTTGTGGCATTGAGAATCTCCATGAGATGAATCAGTCCACGCGCTCAGCTGGTTTACATAGTCAGCCATCAAACTAAGCAACTGTACGCAGAAGGCCTTTCAAGTAACAGCATGTGTTCTTTGTATCGCACAGTGAACTTGTTCAGCACGGACTTGGGATGGATCCGCTTCTCTGGAAACTTGTGTTGTGCAACTAGCTGAAAAATCCCACAGTACTTTTTAAGGAGGGAGTTAACATGGATGAGAGACAGGACGTTTTCTTCATCCAACAAATTTAGAAAAGCCATCAGCAGGTGGACAGAGAACTTTAAGAAAAATATGTTGTGCAGATCCAGCACAGCAAGTATGTCAGGAAGTACAGTTAATCAAAGACAGAGATTACTGGCTACCATTTGGGTATCATTTTTCTATCTGTCCAAAAATGAAGATAGTTGATGACAGAGGGCTGTACTCAGAACAGAATGATTGACTCTTTTATTTATCTAATCGTAGCGGGCTGAGTCTTGACTATTTCATCGGTGTGTTTGGTTTTTCTGCATGCTATTTGTCTTGTGGGTGTTCTGTTTGATCATGATCTCATGATACATAGACGGCTGTTTTGATAACCGCTACCAACTTTGTGGGCAGAGACAGAAAGGTAAAAGCAGGGACAAAAAATGGATTAGCAAATGTGCCACAAAACTTTACAGATCTTTTTAAAAGAGAGTACAGTTGTACCTTGGTTGTCGAATGGAATCCATTCCGGAAGTCCATTCGACTTCTAAAAACGTTCTACAAGCAAGGCACAGCTTCCGATTGGCTGCAGGAGCTTCCTGCACACAATTGGAAGCTGTGTAAGCCATGTCGGACATTCTCCTTCTAAAGAACGTTCACAAACTGGAACACTCACCTCCGGGTTTGCGGCGTTCGGGAGCCAAAACGTTCGACCCCCAAGGTGTTCGGCTTCCAAGGTACAACTATATGTGAGAAGTAAAACCCACACAGGACTCTAAGACTGGGCTATGTTATCTCAGTTACAATTAACACGTCATATAGTTTCTAATACCCCAGAATTCACTAGTTGTGGTTGAATTGAAAAACTGTAATTTGAGATGTGCTCCCTTTTCTTTCATATATGTTAGAAAATCTGTATGCATATGCTTATATAATGGCAGAAAACTAGCTTACTTCTTTTTGAAAGACTGATAGTAATGTAGCTGTCTCACACGCATAGAGGGAGTTTGCAAAGGGGTGCAATGCCCACATGGAAGCCATTTAAAACACTTCCACTGCATAACTACCCTAAGTAGCTGCTGTACACCTGGGCTAGGGTGGAAATGAAATTCAGGTCAGGATTTTGACTTTGATGCAAGATTGGACCCAGTGCCTGTCATTCCAGAGTTTGGAAGTCTATACACATTTGGTGCAAGCTGCCACCTCGGCGCATGATGTGATTTAAGGCCCATCAAGTGGTGTTCAACAAATGTCCTGTCCTGTATAAACACACACACAGTCTCGCTCTTATCTCCAATGACAACTCATCAGATGGTGTAACTCATGAGAAAATACTTCAAAGTATGATTCTGTAAACCTGTTTCTTATCTTCATTGATATATTGCCAGATGTTGTGTTTCACTAAAGCAATAAAAAGTTACTTTTCTTTGTCCGTTAATGAGATTCTTGTAAAAACACAGAGGCGTGCTCCTGATATAAAATGAGCAGTCTCCTTTTATGTTTGTTGCTGTTTATCTTTTTCAAAAAGTACTCAGTGCTTTACAATTACATCATTCTCCCTCTCAATGACTCCACGAGGTAGCTTAGGCCTAATGTACAGTGATTTGTACTAGGCCACCCAGTGAGCTTAACGATTGAGCAGTGGCTTGGATGTGACAATCCCATCCCTTCCTTATTTATTCAGAAGTACTTCTATTGAGTTCAGTGGAACTTACTCCCAGGTAAGTATCTATGGGATCACAGATACTGAATCTGTATGTGATCAGTATGCCGATGACACTCAACTCTACTTCTTGGTAATACCTGAATCAGGTGAGGCCGTGTAAGTCTTGAACCATTGCCTGTGGTTGGTGATGGGCTGGAGGAGTGTCAATAAACTGAAGCTGATCAGATTTTGGTATATTCAGCCCTGTGGGTGAATAGTTCCCAACTTCAGGACACTGGAAGGTTAGATATGTAGCTTAGAAGTACTCTTAGATCTGATACTGTCACTGGAGACACAGGTATCCTAAGTCCTTTTTTCTAGCTTTGACTGGTACGCCAGCTACAGACATTCCTGGACAAGGTTAGCTGAACCACAGTGGTGATCTCTAGTCTACTGCAGTGCACTCTATGTGGAGCTGCCCTTGAGATTGGTTTGGAGATTGCAACTAGCACAGGATGCTGTGGAATTATGTTTGCCTGGACAGGCATATCAGCATATTGTACTAGTGCTGAAAGCTCTGCCTGGCTGCCAGTACACTACCAAAATAAGATTAAGGTATTACTTTTAGTGTACGAAGCCATAGACTGTCTAGGACAAGGTTACATTGCTGCTGCCATGAGTGCTGGAAGGAAGACTGTTCCCTGCTATCATATCTCCTATCAGTCTCATCTTTTCCAAGCTAAACATACCCAGCTCCCTCAGCTGTTCCTCATAACGCTTGGTTTCCAGACCCTTGATCATCTTGGTTACCCTCCTCCGCACAAGTTCCAGCTTGTCAATATCCTTAGTCAATTGTGGTGCCCAGAACTGGACACAATATTCCAGGTCTGACCAAGGCAGAATAGAGTGGTACTGTTACTTCTGCATAACACTGTTGACTCATGGTACTTCTCCTATCACTCCTGCTGCATCATAATGTTGACTCATGCTAAGCTTGTGGTCTACTAGAGCCAGTGTGGTGTAGTGGTTAAGAGCGATAGACTCGTAATCTGGGGAACCGGGTTTGATTCCCCGCTCCTCCACATGCAGCTGCTGGGTGACCTTGGGCTAGTCACACTTCTCTGAAGTCTCTCAGCCTCACTCACCTCACAGAGTGTTTGTTGTGGGGGAGGAAGGGAAAGGAGAATGTTAGCCACTTTGAGACTCCTTCGCGTAGTGATAAAGCGGGATATCAAAGCCAAACTCCTCCTACTCCTCCTCTTCTTCTTCTTTATAAATACATTGAACAACAACAGGCCAAAGACAGAACCTTGTAGCACTCCACTTGCCACTTTATTCCAGGATGACGAAGAATTATGAGCATTCTTTGGGTTTGGTCACTTCAACCATCTGGAAAAGCCCTCCTCATTGTCTCTGATTCATTGAGTTTCTATACAGGCTAAAGCAGTTTAATGTCACCGGAACTTTGAAACACTGTTCCCTCCGAAATCAGGAAGGACCCACAATTCTGATATTTTGCTGCTTGCTGAAATCATTTATGTCCCCCCCCCCGAAATTAATTTGATTGAATGTAGGTAATTCTGTATTTTATAATATTGCAATTTTATGATGTATCAATTGTACATTGCCATACAACTATAAATAATATAAATAAACTCTGCCTGCACCACACCCGCCAGCATCTGCTCCCTGAGGTGGTTGCCTCATTCTGCCCAATGATAGGACTGGCCCAGATATGGATTCCCAGCATGTGTACTTGCAGCAGAAAAAGTTTGCACTGTTTCCCCAAGACAGAGATGATTTCCATGTAGAAGGAATAATAATACTTGAAGCAGCCTTAGGTGTTTTTTTTTTCTGACCAGAAGTATTTTATTAATAACTGTCCTTCATTTTAATAAACAAAGACATAAATGATAATGTGGAATGTTGTAAGACGAGTGTATAGATTGTGCTGAACATATTTAAACGACCTCTTGGGCCCTCCAAAGCAAGTTTTGAGAAATCTAAATATTTCACTGTGCATCTGCTACTGGCACATAGCCACCCACCCACATTAAGTCGAAGTAAATGACATTTATTTTAGCGTTTGGAAAGAAAGAGGCTAATGGAACAGGACCTGGCACCTAGGTTGCCTATATCTGCGCTGCTGGACCTGCCTCCAAAATATCATGGTTTGGAATTCTTGTACTGATGTAACTTACGTGTCATCATCACAAGCATTTTCTGGCTGTTTCAGGAAGTCTTAAAGCATTAAGGGTCTATTTGAAATTTATTCTGTATATGTGGCATGATGGAGCCTCGTTAAATAACACACCGTATCTGTTGATTTTGTTTCCCACTGCAGATGGGTTTTTTGCAGCTGAATGACGACTTCATATTTATTGAACCACTCAATCACACTTTGGCTGTGACAGGTCATGCACATCGTGTCTACAGGCGTAAAAGGTCCATACCTGAGAAAGCCACTGCAAAGCCTGCTTCTCATAGTCAGTACTGTGGTGTTATTACTGGTAATGTAATCCCTGTTAACCTATTTAATGCAGTAGGCACTTCTTGTAAGAAACAAATATCTTTTTCTTAATCTCTATTCACTATTCTGGTTAAAGGTAAAGGTAAAGGTAAAGGACCCCTGACAGTTAAGTTCCAGACGTGAATGACTCTGGGGTTGCGGTGCTCATCTCACTTTACTGGCCGAGGGAGCTGGCATTTTGCCACCTCCCCAGACAGTTTTTTCTGGATCATGTGGCCAGCATGACTAAGCCGCTTCTGGCAAAACCAGAGCAGTGCATGGAAACACCATTTACTTTCCCACCAGAGCGGAACCTATTTATCTACTTTCACTGGCGTGCTTTCCAACTGCTAGGTTGGCAGGAGCTGGGACAGAGCAATGGGAGCTCACCCCGTCGTGGGGATTTGAACCGCTGACTTTCCAATCGGCAAGCTCTAGGCTCAGTGGTTTAGACCACAGTGCCACCTGCATCCCTACTACTCTGGTTACCTGAGTACTATTACTTTAAATGACAATCAGCCCTATTCCATAGTTGTTGAGTTGTAGAAAGTGCCATTGATTTCAGTAGTCTATAATTTGGATTGTCCTATTAAACACAATATTACTTGGAGTTCCACTGAAATTAGTGAGACTTGCTTCCAAGTACACGGAGCCTCAGTCTCTGTTTAAAATCAGTGGACAGAAACTCCTTTACTTGGAAATAAATTTAACTGAAGACAGTTTCCAAGTAAATGTGTTTAGAATTGATGTGCCAGGATTCTAACAGGACAAGTCGCAAATCAACCTGCCAACTCACTTTTTGGATAGGATCACACTCTCTTCTGCAATGAAAGTTGATTCCCTTTTTGTCCTTGTTCTGATCTGTCTCTTCTTCATTGTGGTTCTCAAATGTTGTGCTCAAGAGCCAAGCTCACTGTGTCAAAATACAGTTCTTGCAAAACCACTTTAGGGTTTTTAGTTTGTTTCCAGGTTAATTAAGCTTACTTTGTTAATTCGTTTAGGGCTTGCTCACATTTGAGCATTATCTAGCCATTAATTCACTTCATCAACCCCCCTTTGAATTAGACTGGATTAAACATCTGCATATATTTGAATTTGCATATGAGGAGGAACTTCAGTTTTTCCCAGTAGGCATTCCATTTTGTGTTGTCCCTTCCTTCAAATTTGTTGATTCTGTTACTCCACCTAAGTACTGGCACAGGTGGGGCTGTGATCTAAACCACTGAGCCTCTTGGGCTTGCTGATCGAAAGGTTGGCTGTTCGAATCCCCTCAATGGAGTGGGCTCCTGTTGCTCTGTCCCAGCTGCTGCCAACCTAGCAGTTCGAAAGCACACCAGTGCAAGTAGATAAATAGGTACCACTGCGGCGGTAAGGTAAACAGTGTTTCTGTGCTCTCTGGTTTCCATCACAGTGTCCTGTTGCACCAGAAGTGGTTTAGTCCTGCTGGCCACATTACCTAGAAAGCTGCCTGTGGACAAACACCGGCTCCCTCGGCCTAAAAGCGAGATGAGTGCCACAACCCCATAGTCGCATTTGACTGGACGTAACCATCCAGGGGTCCTTTACTGGCAGGGCAAGTGTGCATATAGCTGTGCATGCATGACTGTCTCTGTCTTTTTTCTTTTTCTTTCTTTTTTTAAGAAATCCCTGCCCAGGAAGTGGGCACCAAATACACAGTCAGGCAATTGCAAGTTTGTGCAGTTTTTGAGTTTTGTGCAAATTTGAGGGATCAAAAAATATGGCTCACTCTTGATGTTGCACTTACTAACACACTGGAAAAGAAACTGAAGCAATTGTAAATTGTCAGCACAAAATTCATCCCCCCCCCAAACAACATATCCTGCAAAGATTTTTTTTAAAATACTTCTGTGGTTTCCTAGTTTTGTGCAATAGTGCGAGATCAAAAGGTAAAATATGTCTCAGAATAGGAATACCGGAAATAGTTATGACATTAGCGGGGAAAGAAATGAAAGCACTGAGGAATTTGTGGGCATGGAAAGGGAAGTAGTAGACAGTTAATCTACCCATCCAATCATCTGTGCCCCTGAGTGGAGCAGTTTGGATCCCAATCCCCTCCCCCCAATCTATTGGATTAACCCTGTATCGGGTAAACCTGAATTTACAGGGGAAAGCATCAAGATTGGTGTTGTTTAAGGGTAATGATGTAACCAGGGGCGTTACATCATTACAACTCCCAATAGACTGCGATCCACTCACAGTATAAAAAAATGACAGTGATCTACCCATTGTCATTGGGTGTACCAAAGTGTACCATTTTTTGGGGGGGGGATCACAGAGGGGCCAAAGAGCTAACAGGCGGATCTACCAAGAACACCCCATGATCTACCAGCCTGGACTAGACAAATTAAATGACAATGCAAACACACAGTAAACTGGTATGGACAAACCCTTAGATTCATCACATGCACACTTTGTAAAATAAGCTAAATGAAAATTAGCATTTTTAACAGAATATTGTAATGATTCAATCTTGTTCAGCCTCAGAGCGTCAAGATTTGAATCAATTTACGTGGGTTTTGCCCTTTCTTGCTTATGTTGGCAAGATTATCTGAATGAACGATGATGTCAAAATGTGTGCTTCATCTCCCATGTCATTTATTATTACTAATGCTACTGCTGTTATGAATGAAATCGTGGGGATAAGAGACTCTTTCTCCTCCTCCTCCTGGATTTTCAAAAGTGGCAGGTATGGACACAAACCACTTACGTTTCCCTCCCTGTGCAACCTCACCTTGAGCAGTTTAAAAAACATTTATTTTAACCTTTCATTCTTTTGCCCAAATCAAATGACAGCAGTTTCCATCTTTCCATGTGTTTAGCTCATAATAACATCTTTAGGAGCTATCATTGTTTTTTGCTATTTTGTATGTGTGTTTTGAAAGACTCCCACACACAGACCCTTTTTTGTTTTCTTCCTCCTCATCTGTGTGGTCTGTTTTCGCAGTTCCTCCATAGGCATTGGTTGCATTTTAAGAGGCTCTTCAGCTTTCAAGGGTTCCTACTGAGAGACCAAAGGGGGAAGTAGAGCAATTTTAAACAGAGAATGTTGCTGGAACCAGTCATCTCTTGAAATGGAAGAAGGCTATTAAATGTGACAGTTGTATACATAATGGCCTTTTTGTTGTAAATTAAAAAAAAATAAAATTAAAACCCAGTGCAAAGTACTCAGAAACACCAGCATTAATAGACTTGCAGAAGGGATGGAGTGAAAGTATTTTCACTAACATTTTATCACATAGGGATATTTTCTTTAGTTTTTAAGCATTTTCCCCCTTAGCAAGCTTAACTACTGAACTGTGATTCTTTTATATCTGCAAGTTGGGGGGGGGGGAGAGAAATGAAAGCGCCGTATTGTTTTATTAGCATTCTCCATCCTTCTTCTGAACACTTTTTAAGTTATTGTCCATAAATGTTTCTTGCCAGTTTCTAGGAAAGCAATTTTGATTATTTTATTGCATCCCATGACTAAGGAAAATAAAGATGAGATTGGAAATACTTATGATTCCTATTTTGGAATAGAAATTATAATTTAGTGTGTACTTGCAACAGGAGAATCCACCTCCCACATTTTTTATTTAACTTCACAGATGCTTATTTAACTTCACAGATTTTAGGGAGCTGTGATTGATTCACAGAGCTGAGGTTGAATTAATGATAAAAAATATACGTGTAGCTTCTGATTTTTGAGCTTGTGGAAGCATGTTGCTGCTAAATCTACAGTATGTTCCTGCTCCTGCAGTAAAAAATATTAAGTGAACTATGTGTAGCTCATTATTCTTAGTTCAGGGGAATCTGCTATAGAGCAAAGTTGGCAGCATTAAAAACCAGGGAAATGTGAAGCCCCATAAACCCATCAAATGCGCTGGAACTTGTGTTAAGCAGTTAATTGATTATTGAGGCCAGTCGATTATCTGTTGGACATATGAGCATGACTAGAATGAGCAGACATGCCAATTACTCTAAATGTTTAGAGCAGGAACAGTGCCGGATTTATGTATAAGCTAAACAACTATAGCTTAGGGCCCCACTTTCTTGGGCCCCCCAAAAAAATTAAGGGGAAAAAGCCTGGATGTACATTTCCAAAATATGATAAAAAATAAAATAAACCTACACACAGCAACAGTGTTTTGTGTTGTGTATGGAGCTATTAAAGATAAAAGTAAAGGTACCCCTGACAGTTAAGTCCAGTCACGGACGACTCTGGGGTTGCGGCGCTCATCTCACTTTACTGGCCGATGGAGCCGGCATTTGTCCGCAGACAGCTTCCGGGTCATGTGGCCAACATGACTAAGCTGCTTCTGGCGAACCAGAGCAGCACACGGAAACGCCGTTTACCTTCCCGCCGGAGTGGTACCTATTTATCTCCTTGCACTTTGACGTGCTTTCAAACTGCTAGGTGGGCAGGAGCTGGGACCGAGCAATGGGAGCTCACCCCGTCGCAGGGATTCGAAACGCCAAACTTTTAATCAGCAAGGCCTGGACTCTGTGATTTAGACCACAGCGCTACCCGCATCCCATTTATGGAGCTATTAGGTCCATAAATTACCATATAGCATATACTCAACACAAAAAACAGCGACAAGGACAGCTGGACATATAAAGGGTTCCATTACCTTCAGTAGCTAAACCTAAATCCAGCCCTGAGCAGGAAGTGTAACGTTATATTCATTAGCATTGTATGATCCATGGTTGGTAAATATTTCATTTATAAGTTGATAATCACTAGAGGTTTGAACAAAAGCCATAAAACATGTATCCCAGTGAAACATTTTTTTGCTAAAAATGGCTAGGATGCCTTTCTGTCAATCACAGAGCATATATTTAGACGCAGAAGAACCCTAGCATCTCCAGAAAGAGATGGCCCAATGGCATAACTCAGTATAAAGCATCTTTACGCGATCATTTGTCTACTACTTGTTTCTGTTGCAGAGAAAAGACTACCCAAGAGCCAAAAAGGAACAGAAAGCGGACGAGGAAAAAGATATTCCTATAAATTACCTCAAGAATATAATGTGGAGACTGTCGTTGTTGCAGATCCGGCTATGATTTCCTATCACGGGGCTGATGCAGCTAGACGATTTATCCTAACGATTCTAAATATGGTAGGGAACGTTGAGACTTTCTGTAAAGATAATACGCTGGGTGATCGCCAGCTAAGTCATACCCATTGCAAACTATGAATGTAAGTGAATGGCTGCCATTTATCCCAGTTGGTCTACTCTACCGTCAATTTAAATTAGCTTGAAGGTTCAGTAAAGCGCAGAACACAGCTTAATTGTATAAGACATTAGGATTGGAAGGTGGGGTCCTAGTGTGGGTCAGAGTCCTGATTAGTACTCTTATGAAGGCGCAGGATCTGACCCAAGCTCCCATCTCCAGTTTAGACTCAACCTTTTTGGCCCTTCTCGTTAGGTTTCCATGGATGTCTTGTGAGATGTAACAGTGCTGCTTTCCCCCCAGCCTAGCCTTCTTACATTAGTACACTATGATATTCCTTGAACATTCAGGAACAAAATATTAAGGAGTCAACAGTACGTTCCACTCTCACTTACATAAAGTGCTCTGTGTGCTTGGATGTGAACATGAGCTTCTAATTCCATCAAAGAAAGTTCTTCTGTGTGTGCAAACGAAGATCAGCTCTCTGCCCCCCCCCAAAAAAACAGATGATGGAGTTGTTCCGAACATGGAGACTGTGTTTGTGTATTGCCCAGACCCAATTGTTATATAAAATTGTTGTATAAAACACTCGGAACTCGTCAGACCGCCAAAGCAGATTTGTGATTTTCATTTTACAATTCTGAAATAGTGTTTTAATCCATTTGTTTTAGGTGTTCAATCTTTTCCAACACAAGAGCCTTGGAATTCGAGTGAACCTTCGAGTGACTAAGCTTGTTTTGCTTCATGAGACTCCAGTAAGAAAGTACTGCATTTACCTTTTCCATGTAATAATAATAATAATAATAATAATAATAATAATAATAATTTATTATTTATACCCCACCCATCTGGCTGAGTTTCCCCAGCCACTCTGGGCGGCTCCCAATAAAGTGTTAAAAACAATACAGCATTAAATATTAAAAACTTCCCTAAACAGGGCTGCCTTCAGATGTCTTTTAAAGATAGGATAGCTGCTTATTTCCTTCACATCTGAAGGGAGGGTGTTCCACAGGGTGGGCGCCACTACTGAGAATGGCCCTCTGCCTGGTTCCCTGTAACCTCACTTCTCGCAATGAGGGAACCGCCAGAAGGCCCTCGGTGCTGGATCTCAGTGTCCGGGCTGAATGATGGGGGTGGAGACACTCCTTCAGGTATACAGGACTGAGGCCATTTAGGGCTTTAAAGTTCAGCACCAACACTTGAATTGTGCTCGGAAACATACTGGGAGCCAATGCAGATCTCTCAGGACCAGTGTTATGTGGTCCCGGTGGCCACTCCCAGTCACCAGTCTAGCTGCCACATTCTGGATTAATTGCAGTTTCAGAGTCACCTTCAAAGGTAGCCCCACGTAGAGCGCATTGCAGTAATCCAAGCGGGAGATAACCAGAGCATGCACTACTCTGGCGAGACAATCCGCGGGCAGGTAGGGTCTTAGCCTGCGTACTAGGTGGAGCTGGTAGACAGTTGCCCTGGACACAGAATTGACCAGCATTACATGTATTATTATCATTATTATTTAGAATAGACATCTGTACAGATAAAGGAACATGTACTCTTAAATTATAAGGTTGGGTGGAAATGATAAGGGAGGACACATTTTGGTGAAGCTTTCTTAAGCAGTGAAAAACATCTCTCCGCTTTTAGCAGAGGTGCTCAAAAGGGAAGCAGTCAGCTCCTTGTAGCCGTTCTGTCTGGTGACACACTAAATTATCCCCCTGCTTAACAGCAGCGAGTTGTGCCTTGTGCCTAGTTATTGGTACTTACTACAAATTATGTGGGACACGGGTGGCGCTGTGGGTTAAACCACAGAGCCTAGGACTTGCTGATTAGAAGGTTGGCGGTTCGAATCCCCATGATGGGGTGATCTCCCGTTGATCAGTCCCTGCTCCTACCATCCTAGCAGTTCGAAAGCACGTCAAAGTGCAAGTAGATAAATAGGTACCGCTCCGGCGGGAAGGTAAACAGCATTTCCGTGCACTGCTCTGGTTCGCCAGAAGCGGCTTAGTCATGCTGGCCACATGACCCGGAAGCTGTACGCAGGCTCCCTCGGCCAATAAAGCGAGATGAGCGCCGCAACCCCAGAGTCGGTCATGACTGGACCTAATGGTCAGGGGTCCCTTTACCTTTACTTTACAAATTATGTTTGGAAACCTCCATTCATAGAATCATAGAATTGTGGTTGAAACCTTGTGCAATGCAGGAGTCTTTTGCCCAACATGAGGTTCAAACCCATGACTCTGAGATTATGAGTCTCGTGCTCTTACCGACAGAGCTATGTGTGCCATCAATCACAAGCACAAAAGCTTTCACTTGAGTAGGTTTCCTCAGCTATTTCAATGTCGTGAGCAGCTTCAAATTCACAATGGGGATTGGTAAAATAATGTGAGGAAGATAGTGAGGTCTTCCTTGGTTGAAACAAACACAATTACAGCATGGCTGTATGAAACAACATGTGGATATTATTTTTAGGTTAATGTTAAGGGAAGATGCACTTAAAATCTCTGAAGCTGTTTGAAGGTGTATAGAACATTTTGTGTATGTGTCTTTTAAGTCACAAATATGTAATTTAGGTCAAACAGCTCTGTAAACAGTATGGTTCTATTTATCCAAATTCCCCAATGCAAACAAAAATATCTAAAGAGAATCTAAAGTTTAGATGAGTCAGACTTTCAATTACACATGTTTGTAGTCAGCTGGAAGGGGGAACATTATGGTTGTTGCAATGAAATAGATGTTTTAATATTGATTGTGGAATAGCAACCAATATTTGAATTCTCTATTATATGTCTTTAAAACACACACACTCTCTTTTGCTTTAAAAAGCCATGTAGATACATATGTTACAACAAGTGAAACATTACACCTTTTAGGCTGACATGTATATTGGACATCATGGTGAAAAAATGCTGGAGAGTTTCTGCAAATGGCAACATGAAGAATTTGGTAAGAAAAATGACATCCATTTAGAGATGTCAACAAGCTGGGGTGAAGATGTGTCACCAGTAGACGCAGCCATTTTAATCACAAGGTAAGTTGCAAGTTTTTGTCCCTTTGGTTAATGGCCGTGAACCTCATGCAGCATTATGTAGGCACTCTGATGAGTTGATCGGTGATGAAGCAAAAAAGAAAACGAAAAACAGGCATCAGATGCAGGAATGAAGGGGGTTGGGAAACACCTCAAAAGATGAACAGAAACCACTTAAGCCCACAGTGTTTAGTGTTCCCCTTCCTCAGGTGTGATGGAGAAACAAGATGTCTTCTACACTATCTCGTTTTTTGCTTTTTTGTTTTAAAAAAGAAAGAACTGACTTAGATATTTGGATGCCTGCAGTATTTGTACATATATTATCTATGTCTGTTTATGTGAGGAGCATTAAAAGGGAAACAGGCTTGCAGAATCATGAAGGAACATCTCAAAGGACAGAACAGAAGCATTCCAGTATTCTTAGCATACTGGCACCTGACTTCTAGAGTTAAGACATATCGTATCTGGGCTGAGCAGAAAGACGTAGTTCTGGAAGATTTAATATTAAGTCCACGTGAGATTTTCCTGTACCATCCTTCCGTATTTCTTTGTCATTTGCTATGCATCTCACCCTTTCCATACCTGCCTGTTTTATATGTTTCTTTGAAGAGATTCCTGTATAATAGTAAGCTTTATATGGAGTAGCTGAATATTTAGGCTTTGCATTACCCCTAAGGACCTCTTCTACCCCTGTATTTAATAGGTTTTAGTTTATGAGTAAAGTGTAATTTATGGAAATGACAGACTAGCAGTTGCCCATTCTTGCTTCAGATTCTTTTCTGCCATTAGTCACCTCATTTAAGCTTCAGAAAACTGCCGTAAATCTCTTAAAAGTTAGATTTTGCTCCCACTTGAAGGACTATTATCCCCTCTATAAGTTTGGTAAATCACTTGCAAGTTATGATTGCTTGACCTGATAATAGAAGATACCAAAGTATCCCTTATTGTGACTTCCACATGGAATATGCAGTACAGTTCTAGACAAATCTTTCTTCTTTGGCAATCACTTGTAGCCAAGTAACATTGTCTTCCATAAACACAGTTTTAACAATGTATCCGTAAGTGACTGTGGAAGCCAATTCTGGATCCACACATCCTTCCACAGTGGGGACAGAGGTTTCTGAGCAGGAGTTGATCATGGTGAGGGTTTACCAAGCATGCCTTCCTCTTAGCATGTTTCTCCCTAGTGTCCTGAGTTAGAGTGTCTTCGAAGTCCATGACACTTTTGGTAAAGGCTGTTCTCCAATTGGAGTGCTCGCAGGCCAGTGTTTCCCAGTTGTCAGTGTTTATGCTACATTTTTTAAGATTTGTCTTGAGACAGTCTTTGAACCTCTTTTGTTGACCACTGGCATTACGCTTTCCATTTTTAAGTTCGGGATAGAGTAGTTGCCTAGGAAGATGATAATCAGGCATCTGCACAACATGACCAGTCCAACGAAGTCGATGTTAAAGAACCATCGCTTCGACACTGGCGATCTTTGCTTCTTCCAGTACACTGGCATTAGTTCGCCTGTCTTCCCAGGTGATGTGTAAAAAAATTTTGGAGACACCATTGATGGAATCTTTCAAGGGGTTGGAGATACCTAGTTGGTTACTCAATGAGATGGGAGTTAGAACAGAATAATGTGTTATTTCAGCTTATCTTTACAGACTTCCCCAACCTGGTGACTTTCAGGGTTTTTGGACTACAATTTCCATCATTCCCCATTTTTGACCATGCTTCCTGGGGTTGGTGGAAGTTGAGGAAGGCTCATTTATTACCACAGTGCTGAACTGCGAGCATATGTGTTGATACTTGTGCTGAGTGATGGCAGTTGTTTCAGAGATTGATTCAGTCCTCAAGCCCTATAGGCTTGCAAAGAAAAAGAAAGCATTTGGAGCATAAAGATCCACTCACAGGAAGACAATAAAATCTGAAAGCTCAGATGTTCCTTCAATGCTGAGCTTGGCTTACTCCCATCTTTAATTTTAGGGACTGGGAACAACTGATAGAACTGATCTCTTTTGGAAAGAGAAGGGGGAGGGAGAGGGGAAATGCTCCAGATTGTAGGCTGGTTTCCTTCTTCACAGACACATTTACTGATAAGAAAATCACCCAGCCTACCATGAAGAGCCATTGCTTGTAAGCTTTCTACAAAAGGCGGGAGACCAGAAATTGAGGGGCTGGCATTGGGGGGAAGAAGGGAAGAAGATTTTGGATGAGAGGGGCTCTGTGAAACTGAGTGGGGAGACAGAGTGGGGGTAGCTAGCGTTAATCAAGTTCGAGGGGAAACAGGACACAGAATATAAGGCAAATTTGGCCATATAAATCGAGTGCATGCCTTTATATACCTCTTGCAGGAACATACTTACACATACTTACGAATGGTTTCATTTACATGTTTAAATTAAATGTGCATTTAAATGTGTTTTTAGCCTTTCCAGTGCATTTTGTACCATTGGCCCACTAAGATTTTAGTGGCGCTAATTAATAATAAAGTCACTTAAAGAATTTGATAAAATAATTGCTAGAGCAACGCTGCAATCCATTCTGTAGATTCAGATGCTACATGATGACCCTCCTGCAACTTCCCTAAGTAGAAATGAGGACACAAATAAATAATGAATTGTTTATAGGTGTATCTGGAGTATCATAAACTTTTACTGGGCAGCCTCGTCTCCAAGGAATACAGTTCTTATTCTTGGAAATTAGGGAATGTTTTACATTTGTCTCATTGCACAGGATGCAATTGTACTTCACTGTTGCCAAGACTTAAGAGTTCTATTTCCCCAAACTCTCATAATTAAACTTTTGGAAGTTTACTTCAACCAGGATAGAAATCAGCTGAATGAAAGCATCTCAGCCCACATATACTCTACTTATTAGGGTGTGCAAGTACAAATCTCAATTTTATTTTTGACAAAGTACAACTTCCATGCTATTTGTGCCTTGTTATATTTCACATTTGTTCTCTTCTTTCTCATTCTTTAAACAGATATTAACCTTAAGAGCAGTTATGTAAGTGCATTCATAACATCCACAGGCTTCCCCCTCCAGATTCACAAACATTAAACCCTATGTCTAACTGCTAATATGTTTGCATCGGCCTTAACACATGATCCATCTCTTGTACTGCAAATACTGGCATATTGTAATACTGCAAATCCATCTCTTGTACTGCAAATACTGGCATATTGTAATCCTGTACAGCTAACTTGCAGCCTACGCGATTTAACTTGTGCACATTCAGCTTTACATATTTGGCAAATTAAAAAAAAAAGAAACGAAGGGGGCAGGTGTTCATGGAAAAAGACTGTCAATCTTAATATTGAACCCAATGTGCTTTGACTATGGTGGAACTACACACATATAAAAGAAGTTGTGAAAATGCTTTTTTAAAAAAACATTTTGAAAAATATATCGAATTCGCCATAGCTCACTATCACCATCTAGTGTCACATTTGTATAATGCACTTTACAACACACTTAAAACGTTTTATGTGCAGCAGTATAGCTGAGTCCTATATACGATTTTGGCTGTAGACGCTATTCCTGGAATGTAACCCCAGCATAAACTGATGTCTCAAGTATGTTGAGACTTAGCACAGTGGTTAGAAACAGGGAAAACTTTTATATTTAATTGTATACTTTCCTTTCATAACCCCTTTTTTATTATTGCAGAGCTGTGTTTCCCCAACTTGGGTCTTCAGCTGTTTTTGGACTGCAACTCCCATCATCTCTAGCTAGCAAGTCCGGTAGTCAGAGATGATGGTAATTGTAGTCCAAAAGCAGTTGGAGACCCAAGTTGGGGAAACACTGTTGTAGAGTCATGTTGTTTGGGGCTTCAATGCAAGACGATGATGCCATTAGGGAGAATACTCCAGCCTGGAATATTTCTGTGACTGTAATCTTTTAAAAATGAATGATAATCTAAGTGACCTGAAAACAGCACAGTTGGACTGGAGATAGGGGCAACTTACATTCCCATGTGGTGTCTTCCCTAATTCCCCTGCTTGAGTAAACCAGGGTTCTCAACACATCAAGGAAACCATGGAAAGTAGATCTCTTTCCCCTTCTGTCCCCAGAGATGGGGTAAGGAAATGCTGCTTTATTTGTTGCACTTGTATCCAACTAGGGTAACAGCAATAATTGCATTGCTAGCGTCTTAAGATAATTCTCCCAGTACCATTTTGGACACTTAGAGCAGTGTTAGAGCTCATCTACATTTTCACTTCGGGACGCGGATGGCGCTGTGGGTTAAAGCCTCAGCGCCTAGGACTTGCCGATCGAAAGGTCGGCAGTTCGAATCCCCGCAGCGGGGTGCGCTCCTGTTTCTTCGTCCCAGCGCCTGCCAACCTAGCAGTTCGAAAGCACCCCCGGGTGCAAGTAGATAAATAGGGACCGCTTACCAGCGGGAAGGTAAACGGCGTTCCGTGTGCTGCGCTGGCTCGCCAGATGCAGCTTGTCACGCTGGCCACGTGACCCGGAAGTGTCTGCAGACAGCGCTGGCTCCTGGCCTATAGAGTGAGATGGGCGCACAACCCTAGAGTCTGTCAAGACTGGCCCGTATGGGCAGGGGTACCTTTACCTACATTTTCACTTGCAAAAATCCGATCTTCCCCAATGAATCGAAGCTTGGTTGAGCAACCGGGGATGGCTAATGTTACATTGCAGATCATTTAGATATTGCAAAACAGTTTGTTTGTTTGTTTGTTTATTTATTTATTTATTTATTTATTTATTGGTGGAAAGGTTAAATCCATCTTAAATTGGACACCCTGGCTTGCACTTTAATGCTGAGAACAGTGTATGGACATATTGAGAAACACGCATGCATGAACAGCGCTGATCTCAGGATAAGTACCCATGTGGAAGTCTCTTTAGTTTCAGTAGGGGATGAAAAATCTGACAAATCTGTGAATTTCAGATGATTAAGGAAGATAACTAATCAACCTGATGCCACATACACTTTAAATGGGAAATAAATTGCAGATTTAAGGTTGAAGTGTCATTTGATAATTTCAGGATTTCCTTCACATGTTCTTTTTTAAAATAGAGGAGCCTTGTCATTTATTAAGCGGTTAAAATTTGCATAAATGAGCATCTGACAGCACATTTTTCTTAAGGCTTTGTCTTCTTTTCCCTCCCAATTTTAGGAAGGATTTCTGTGTACATAAAGATGAACCGTGTGATACTGTTGGTAAGTGAAACAATAATGCCTTGAAAATGCAGCACTATAGGGAGTTGTGGAAGCTTGATTATGTGGGGAGGAATGCTTATAGGCAGTTAAAATGCAAAAGTCCATCATAACGATGACGTGTTTGGTACGCTAGCAAGTTGACCAAGGCTAAGCATTTTGACATTGATGCAACTTAATTATATACCGCTCCATTGCTTTCAGTGACTAGTTGGGACTAACCTAGGCATTGTAAGAGACAGAGAGTTGTTGGCGCGCCATGTCTCATCTCCATTTCTTCTCTTTCCTATTGGCTAGCTCATCTCCTTGTCCTACCAATCAATGATGTGAGCTACAGGAGAGGAAGCCCATGGAGCAATGAGGTCTTGTCACTCATTGCTTAGCTCACATGTTATGATGAATTGGGGTGGACTGATTTAAATCAAGAAAAGATGCTCATTAAATAATTGATTTAAATCAAGTTCCACATTTTGAAATACATATTTTCATTGATATGCATATCCAGAACCATAGGTGAAACTGCATTAGATTAGACCTTTATCTTCATATTATTATTTTTTTCATTTCAATCAAAAAGGGTTCTCAATTCAATATCCAAAGAAAAACTACAGTTATTAAGCATTATTTGGAATGTATTTTTTTCCAGTCAAAGTGAATCTGTAGGATACATAATATTAAGTGATAAAAGATATGGTGCCTTTCAATGCACTTGATGTAAGTTATTACTCGTGTTCCATAAACTAGGAACAAGACCTTAATTTTAGCAAGCACTAGAGGTGACAAACAGAAAAATCATTAAGGGTACCAATTTGGGATGAATTAAAACTGCATACTGGTCTTCATACAGAAACATATTCATGGAATCCTAGAACTGTAAATTTCGGGAGGTCTAAATGATGTTGCCTAGGTTTGAAACAAGAGTGTAGTTGGCACTGTGCAGCCAAAGGAGTTTTGCCAATATTCATCATATGGCAGCTTCTTATGCCACATGGCAATTGCCCTGAAACTGAGGAGGGTTTCAAAAGCAGTTTGTTATATGGCTTGTGGGTCTACTTGTCAAAGTGGGGAAGGAAAGTGGGCATATCTAAATAGCCCTCTGGATCACAGCCATTTAGTCCAATCATGTACATTGAATCGAGATTTCTGCACGCTTTTTAACACAAGTTAAAAGTTTGGTTGGAAGTTGGTTGCAGTTTCTTTGGACTTCTTGATCTTGCCCATGAGTAGGTAAACTAAGGCCCGGGGGCCGGATCCAGCCCAATCGCCTTCTAAATCTGGTCCATGGACGGTCCTGGAATCAGCGTGTTTTTACATGAGTAGAATGTGTGCTATTATTTAAAATGCATCTCTGGTTTATTTGTGGGGCATAGGAATTCGTCCCGTCCCCCCACAAAAAAATATAGCCTGGCCCCCTACAAGATCTGAGGGACAGTGGACCGGCCCCCTACTGAAAAAGTTTGCTGACCCCTGATCTTGTCTGTACTGTTGTTGTTTTTTAAGAACCTCTCTCACCACCAAAGGAACACAAGTGAACAACACAAGCAACGCTGACACCAAACTCTACATACATTAAACATAATAGAAACACCGCCACCCGACCCCACCCCCATCCATCTTCCCTCTGTCCACCCCCCTTTCTTTTTTCTTTTTTTTCTTCTCCCCCTAATGCCTCAACAAATGAAACAGATTTGTAAAAATGTTACATGAAAAAAATAATACACGAGGCTCTACACTTCTGTAAAACAAGAAAATCCTTAATAAAATATTTAAAAAAAAAATGAGCAATGCTCTCCATTGCATTGATATACCTTTAATAAAAACACAATCAGATATTTTCTAAGTATAAATGATGACTATGTCAACAGTGATATGAATGTTATTATTTTGAAAGCAAGAACTGCAAGAAGAAAGATTACCAAATGCTAATGTAAATTGTTAACATAAAGTATATTGGGGCATAATCTGGTATCACAACAGCTGTAGCACCATTGGTTTAAGATTATGGTTACTTCAGATCAGTACCTGCGATTTTCCTTTTCTGAGAATGTGACAGATTAATAGTTAAAAGTGGAAGGTTGAATTTGGAATTTAAATAGATCACTTGTAAGGATTAGACAGAAGGCAAACAAGTACGAAGTAACAAATCTTCTCCCAGTGTATTTATAGGGCAACTGAGATAGGACATTCCAGGAATTTTTAACATGTTGTAAATTGCGGTGCTAGCCAAAGAAAGTTAAAAGAAAAATGTTGAAGTAATGTCAAGAGAACAATTTACGGCTGTTAAAAGTTTACAAAAATTGAAGCATGGTATGCAATCTTATCCATACCACAGGAAGGAGTAAGCATTAATATTAACCTGAATGTACTCAAATGTTTCACTAAGAAGTTGTCTAAGTCTCTTTGATGTCATAAGTAGTTTGCACATCTAAATTTAAGTTAGGGAAGGCTTATACATATTTGTTTCCAAGAAAATCCCATTGAGAGCTAGGCAGTGATTAACTTCTCATTGGAACCTATAATCTTTAAAAGTGATTCAGTTTGCTTGGGTTGTGTCTATATTGTGCTAACCTCCTAGGCTGGTAGACCAATATATATCCATTTCACTTTCCCTCAGACAACCTATTATATAAGTTCCTAAACAGGCAATAAGTAAAGGTAAAGGTACCCCTGACCATTAGGTCCAGTCGTGGCCGACTCTGGGGTTGTGGCGCTCACCTCACTTTACTGGCCAAGGGAGCCGGCGTACAGCTTCCGGGTCATGTGGCCAGCATGACTAAGCCGCTTCTGGCGAACCAGAGCAGCACACGGAAATGCCGTTTACCTTCCCGCCGGAGCGGTACCTATTTATCTACTTGCACTTTGAGGTGCTTTCGAACTGCTAGGTTGGCAGGAAAACAGGTAATAGTTTTCTCCAATTTAGGTACAATTGGAATGTACCTAAAATCTGGCCACATTGGCACATCATGGTATGCCATAAACCATAGTTTATGTGCATGAGCATATTGCATCTGGTCTGATTCTTCCCATTTCTCCCTGCTTGTACTAGAAGGAAGCAAACCACGGGCTTTGCATTATGTCAGTACGATGTATTATTTGTTTTGCTTCCAACAAACCATGATCTGTCGCCAAGATTTACTGATTATAGTTTGTTGGAGCAAAACAAACCACAGTCCCTGGTTTGGATGCAGCAGATTGGAACCACACTATGAGGAAATAGCTCCCATGGCAATGTGTGTGTGTGCAAGGTAATGCTAATATCAGCTAATATTATACGAAAGTAGAAATGACATCATAGCAGAGCCTAGTCACAAAATAGAAGGATGAGATGTTGTAAGAGAAAATACCGTATTTTTCTGTGTATAAGACAATGGTTTATTGAGTAAAAAATGGGTGGGGGTTGTCTTATACACCATTTTTGGTGGGGCAATCAACAACTTTGAGGGTGATCAACAACTCTTGTTTGTTGTTTAGTCATTTAGTCGTGTCTGACTCTTCGTGACCCCATGGACCAGAGCACGCCAGGCACTCCTGACTTCCACTGCCTTCTGCCGTTTGGTCAAACTCATCTTAGTAGCTTCGAGAACACTGTCCAACCATCTCGTCCTCTGTCGTCCCCCTCTCCTAGTGCCCTTAATCTTTCCCAACACCAGGGTCTTTTCCAGAGAGTCTTCTCTTCTCATGAGGTGGCCAAAGTATTGGAGCCTCAGCTTCAGGATCTGTCCTTCCAGTGAGCACTCAGGGCTGATCTCCTTAAGCATGGATAGGTTTGATCTTCTTGCAGTCTATGGGACTCTCAAGAACTCTGGCAACCCAAAAATATTGATTTCTTAATTTTGGGTTAAAAGAAGTAGGGGTCGTTTTATACACGGGGGCGTCATATACGTGGAAAAATACGGTAGCTCCTATTAATATATCATTGTTTATGGTAGCCAAAGGTGTTATGTAGGTGAATTAATATAAGCAGAAAAACTTGAAGAACTGGAGACAATCATTCATGCAAAATGACCTGCCCACCCAAAAACATTGCTCTAAATTCATTCGCTAGTGAAACTATTTTGATGAATGAATGACAAACATTTGGTGCTGCGTTCCTGCTCTATTTACTCAGTAAACAATGGGACTTACTGCCAAGCAGACAGGTTGCACTCTCAGTGAATTTATTAGACTTGCCACTCATATCCTACTGTGTAGGACAGTTTATTTACAAGTCTTGGCTCTGGGAATTATAAAATAGGATGTTTTGCGCTGAACAAATTAAACATACTGGACTGGTGGTTAGACACATTTTTCCAGTGTTTTTATAGACTCAGATACATTGTTCCAATATGTGTAGTGAGGTGGGTAAAATAATTTTTTGTGTCTCACTCCATCTTTGAGATTTAGCCTGGCTTCATATAAGATGAAAAAATGGAGGTACGCTCTTCAGACTCACGTATGAATTAAGAAGCAGCATAATATAAATTGTGAATTGCTGTATTTGTGACTGTCTCAGAGAGAAGACACACACAGGACTTGATTCTGGAGTTTATGTCCTAGTAAATTCCTGTCCTTCCCTTTTGTTTATTTATTTCTAAGATCTGACACCTCACTAGCTGAGCACAGGTATTCACGGTGAATACTGATAAACAGCGGCTGCATTCTTAGCATGTTTTAATTTCTCTTCATAGTGGCTACTCTAGATGCTGAGCTAAACTCTCCCTTGATCTGTGAGTGATGCTAAATACCATTATAAACCAGGGTGCAATGTCTGTAGCCATTCTATATTGCAAAACTCCCCTGTGCTGAGAAGAGCGCAAGCTTTTCAAAATCAGTTCCAATAAAACAAATACATCTATGTATTCAGAATAGTTTGTCCTTACTCAGTAAAGGAGTCTTTGGCTTTTGTTACAGCTGCATCAAAGTCCATGTCATCATGGATGACATTGATAATGTGCACGTGATAATGTGCTTGTGATGTGTTCTTTGACTCAGCCCATCCCCTGGAAAAACTGTAGTCAAAGGAA